TATATATATAATATATATATATATATAATTATATATATGTGTATATGTATGTATATATATATATGTGTGTATATATATAATGTATATTTATATGTCAGCATAATTCTTTGGTTTTCCTCCCTGTGGATTCATTGTCCTGTTTACCTGTTTTTATTGGACTTGCTTCCTGACACAGCAGCAGACTGCTTTTTTTATGAGCTCAGCCCCCGACTAGACTCAGCACACGGAGGTGACCACCAGCTGGTCGACACTCTTGGATGAAACAGCCTCTAGAGGCTGCGTTGTTTCCTAATGGTTTAGAGAAACCAAACATATGTGGAAAAAAAGGAAAGGGTTGGATGGGGTGATTTTTGAAACATGACCTAAAACATTAGGGCTATTGAAGGGGTATTAGTGTGGGCTTTAACACCTCATGGGAAGTGAATGTGGCTTTTTGCATATTGCAATGGCTGTCATTTCAATACGGTTTATAGTTTAAAAAAAATAAAAAAAAGAAACATCATGGAGGAAATTCCGAGTCATTAAATCCATTTTATCAAGCAGTTTTCACATTGACTCTGTGGAGTGCACTTTCTGTCTGCATTATATGTACAGTGAAAGCTGAAAGGACTGCATTTATAACTTGTGGAAAAAAAAAGAAGCTTTTTCGCAGTTAATTCTCTAAAAAGTCACAAAAATCTGTAAAGAAAATCTGCATCACTTCATTTCCAGCACATTTTGTGTGTGTCAAGAGTCTGTTTTAATGTGGAAAAGTGACAAAACAAGGAAATATAATATGTACACGTACTTTTATCAGTGTTAGTTATTTAGTTTTGAAGTATGGTATTCCAGTACTTGTGGTGGCCTTTGTTCCAGTACTATTTTTACTGATACAAGTGCAAGTGTTTTCTTTTGTGTACAGTACTCACTGACACCAAGTACTCTCACCGGTACTTCTTCAGGCTGGGTTTCAATTAATATGGAAATCAACCAGGAAGCACTATTATATACTGTATGTGACACAGCGGTAATGAGAACATCAGAGTGGGGGAAAATAATTAAAGTTTTGTTGTGTTCTTATGAACAGTAGAATACATTCTAGAATAGAATAAAATAGAATAGGCTTTATTGTCATTATGTCTGGTTAGAACATAACGAAATTGCGGAAGGCTTCTTTGCAGGTGTATCACAAATACATACAACATTACTCTGCTGTAATGGTCACTTACATAAACAACAAAACAAAACAAAAAAACAAGCAGTCATCAGCACTACAACACAGTTGGATAGCATAGTGTTAAACCGATCATTCATGTAGATTAAAATATCCACACACGTTCAGTTATAACAAAGGTCAGTAAGGGGCGTTTTGGCTACCAGCCCATGTATGATGTACAGTGCCTGTGGTGTGATCACGTGCATAATAATTGCAGTGTGCCCTACTATACATGCAAATACAACACTTTCGTGTTTCAGCATAAACTCTTTTTGTTTTTGTTAGTTCAAAGATGCTTTTTTTATATATTTATATAAAATCAGTAAAAAATAAAGTAAATAAATAAAAATATATAAAATATATATTAATAAAAAAATATATATTTTATAGGGACTTTATTTTTTTTGTTAATTCAAAGATGATTCTCCTCTTGTTCCTATCTTGGATGCTACACATTTCCTCCCTATTTCTTACTAATTCTGATTCAGTTCCATCTCCACTGTGTCTCATATTCTCTCCTGTATATCCTTATCCACTGCAATGCAGTGTGTCTTCAGCACTAAACAGAAGCTCAGGTCCAATAATTGCCCCCGAGTGGTAGCCAGAATAAGTTTGTGTATAAATCAATACACAAACCTTTTTTTTTTTTTTTCATATTTATGTTTATTTTCTTTGGCAATCATTTGTTATAAAAATGCAAATATTGTGTTAGTGATGCACCAGCATGCGATGCACACAACAGAGATGACACACATTTGTGTACGTCACCTTCTAGATTTGTTTACACATACTATTAATTGCCGTGCGGAGGCAGCTCAGGTTTCACAGTTGATTTACTGCGTCTGTGAAAAACATTAATAACA